TGTACACTGACGCCTGTCACCAAGTGGCATATGTTGCTGTTTGTTCTGCATTGAAAGAAATGGAGCTAATTAAAGAGAAGCAGCCCTGTCACAGGAAGTGTACGCAAGCTGACCATTCATTGCTCTGATTAGTTAGTTGTTGAAACAGAGCTCAGGATTAGGTGAAAGACTGGAATTCTATTGATGAAGTGCTATTAGAAGACCTTGGATATTTGGAAATTCAAACACTGGTCTTATAATCAGCTGCTGGGAAGGGAGCACAGATATCCCATCCCACTGGTAACGTTCATCTTCCTACAATATGAAAAGAAACATTTGCTCAAATTATTTAATTTATACCCACTCATGTATCTGAGCTTTCCTATGAAATGCAAGTCCTCACTATTGATATACCATTAAAAGAAATTTGGTGTGGCTGAGTTTGTTCAATAAAACACATTAAACGAATTCCAATAATGTCTTTATTAATAACTTTTATTATTTAGGAAGAATAATCAGTACTTTACTTGAACTGAAGCCTGTCAAATTACAAAATTGTATATCAAATAAAATACAAATTACTCGATTCATTAATAAATAAAGTTACTATAAAATCACACAATTAACTAATCAAATTACTGTGATATTAAATAAAGCCTTAATTGTAAGGGTAAATTGCCGTTCTTTTTTTCTAACTCTACAAAATCTGTACGTGTCCAGTGTGAATGGTTACATATGTATTTATAATTACATCGTATATAACAGCGGTCCCTAACCCCCGGGTCCGTGAGTCGTTTGGTACCGGGCCGCGAGAGTTGAGGCTCATGTGTGAAATGTATGATTTTCAGGGTTTTTATTGGTTTTCAGTGTTATTTTGTTATCGTTTTGATCGTTAACTCGGTTTTCCTGGGTCTTTTCACGTGTGTTATGAATAAATCTTCTTTTTTCCGGTACCGGTACTAGTTTTTGTTGTATTTATCCACGACACATTAAAGGCCGGTCCGTGAAAATATTGTCGGGCATAAACCGGTCCGTGGCGCAAAAAAGGTTGGAGACCGCTGGTATATAACACAGCACAGCATAGCAGGCAGTTGTAGTTAATCTTTATATCAGCATATAAATGCTAGCACATAATAGCACACCAAAATAGTTACATTCAGTCTGTATTTAAGCTCCTCGTTAGATCTTGATTAATCATGATGTTTTATGATAAATAAGTGTTTCTTATCTCCAAAAGTTGATTCTGTTCATCTGGACGTAGCGTTATGAGTGACAAAACGTTTCTCCCACAAAACGCTACATCCAGATGAACAGAATCAACTTTTGGAGATTTACTTTCCTGGATGATTGAGAATGCATCAAGAAGTGTTTCTTATCTTTCTTATTGCATCCCAAACAAACAGGCATGTTTGATCATGTTTTTTTTCAGCCATTACTTCTTTATTGTGTAGTTTTTGCTGTGCTGCGTATGTGTAGCTGTTGTTGGTGTATACTGATCATGTGAGTGCAAATGTAAACCTTGTATTTCTAAACTAGGGAAGGACTCAGTGCATCAAAAGGTGGCATCTGCCCTGCTGAAGTATCATTAAGCAAAACCTCCTGCACTGTGACCCCTGACCTCTCCTTGTAGAGTGCACCATGAATGCTCATTGTTATTGTAGTGAGTTAGTGTTGTTCTTTTTCCAAACACTCTGTGAGATATAGTAAGTTCTAATACACATAATGCGTGTGTTAGCCATAGCCATGGGTGAGATTAGCCAGAGAGATCTCTTGCAGCTTGATGCTCAGACACTGTGAATAAATCCCTCTGATTAAAGGGAACAGAACTGGGACAGACTGGCTACCATGCAGCTTTAACGCGCTCAGTCACGTCTGTCACAAACCACAGGAATAAGAGTGTGTACAGTGACTTATGTGCTGCGTTTTCCTTTGAAACTTAAAAAACAACTGTGCTTGCACAATGAGCCTAGCAGGCCTATTAGAGAATCCCATGGCTGGTTTCTTCTAAAGTAGGTTATGTTTCTGTAATCGGATGTGTTAATGTGTTGAGTAGTCTCATCTTACTCTAGAAGAGCATGAAAAGCCTCATCAAAAGCTGGAAGAAATCTGTTTTGAGTCTAAGAGTATTTGAGTTCAAGAAAAAAAGAGTATAAGTAGATGTATTTCTGTAACTATACCAAAAATTGCACATTTAACTTGAAACTTTAGAAGGTTTGTGTGATGAGTGTGTTCACAAAAGAGGTTTTGCATAATTTTCATGATATAATTTCCAATAATATAATTATTATACTTCAGCTGGACAACAGGGTTTCAGATTGATGTTTATTATTGGCTATATTGTTGCACTGTAGCATTTCATCTTAATTATCAAGAGACTACTGTTCACATATGAGAGGTGAGTCATCAGGAGAACGAACTAGAATGAGCCATCTTATTCATGCTGCACTCTCTGACCCTTGTTGGCTTAAAGCATCTCAGTGCATCTTGAGTCAATTCCCCTCTGAGTGGTAAAGCAGAAACGGCACGAGCCACTAGTCATTGTTAAGAAGAGTTTAGATTTTTGTTTAAACGTGATTTAAAAGAAAATTATATTCCCAGCATAAGACAGGAGGGGACAGATAAACCGATGCTTTTTAAACTGGATCCAACATGAACTCTAATAGCCTCTGACACTCATTAAACAAAGGGGAGCTGGTCCTGGAGCTGTCAAGATGCAAGGACATCAAAGACATAGACAGGGCCTGTGCAGCATAAAAGTCAGATCTGTGAAAATTATGAGGGAATTTGGATGTGCTCGGTGCCCTGTGTGCAACACCGTCTTACTTGATTCTTGAAAGGTACCGTTCGTTAGAGAGCCCTGAACAATACTGACACACTGTTCATTAGGCTGCTTTCCTCTCCTCGTGCTCAAGAGGCAAGACACAATACTTTGCAGAGGAAAAAAATGTTCCATCTATTAACATTTCTCTAGTGGCCACAATACCTGCCAGAGCACTCTTTATTGCTTTACACAGCAGCAGTCTTCTTAATAACCTTCAACATATTGTGGTGTGAATAAAGAGCCTCTGGATTACAAAGACTTTTATCAGAGGTCTAAATTGCATCATATGGAGACCAATTTATTCTTAAAAAATGATCTGCGCTGATTCCTTCATATTTTATGACATGTTGAATCAGTTTAGTTTTTTTCTAGCAGTGCACCAAAATGACAAACACAGATAT